GAGAACGGGAATATGGGTGCCCACATGTAAAGAGAATCCCCACAGAGAGAAAGAAGAAAATGGCAATTTCAGGCACTCAATTATTTTGTCTTTTTGATTCATTTTGTTTCACTTTAAGGCATTTGTTTTTGTTTTAAGCATTTTGTTTTGACTTAAGCTCAATTATTAATTGAGGGGAAAGAGATAGTTTAAAAAAACAGAGGGATACATTCTAATGGGGTATTTTTCCCAACATTTGCTTTTCCAGCTTTCATGAAAAATCCTTCAACTTCTGTTTGGTTTTTACAATATCACCCTCATCCTTATATAGTTGGTTAAAATTCCCATATTTGTTTGCTTTTTCCATTACAGCTTTAGATTAGCTGATTCCTGATTATGTTGGGGAAGGACAAGGCATTTTTCTCACTTGGAGCTATCTTCAAATCACTAGGAAGTATCTAGTATTCCAAGAATCCTCAAATGAGCTAAGAGAAGAGGTGAAATTCCCAGGCCAAATAAATTTGAGAAAGGCTATACATTTAAAATCTCCCTCCCAGAGACTGACAAAGTATATTAGCATATTAAAGCCTTTGAGACATCCTACACTGGCCAAAAAAAAAACACAGTTCAACAAATTTACCCTGGGGAATGCTTTTTTAACTTTGCATGTTATTAATATACCAGAATTTCTCATCTACACCAGTTTAGGAAATCCTGTTGTAGCAAATCTATGATCTGTGGAATCCTGTTAGGTTTTACATTGAGAGGTTCTTTATATTGTCTCTAGATTTAGGGATTCACACTACCTTCAGGACTTGGAGCCCTCCCTTACACTATCTACAGAAGACTAGTGACACCACCATTCACCTGGGGACCCTTTTATAACACCATGGTGGGTGGGAGGGACTGACAAAAGATTGTACGAGGATAAACATGGTTGAGATTTCAGCAAGAGACAATGTGTTTAATCAAGGCTAACGAAATTACCTGCTCTGTGAAAGGATTAGTAATTTATTAGAAACCTTCCTAGAAGGATGTGATTGAGGACAGGATCCAAGTACCTCCTTATATATCGGGAGCAAGAATCAACTAAACAATAACTTTAAATTAAGACATACAATTGGAGATGGTAATATATTTTGAAGTTCTGCTGAAAAAAAGAATCATGATATAATGCCCACAGAAATGGGTGATCCACGTTATGAGCTGAAAAGGGAAAACTAGTGGTGCACAAATACGTCAGTGTGACAGTGTGCTATCTCCAGCATTACTCAGAGAAGAATAGAGAATAACGTGATTTAGGTTGGTCCCAGTGTGAAGCCTGATGGGGTCTAGCCTCAAGTGGCAGCCAACCTTCTGCTTCTCATCTTATTAAAGTGATGATTAAAGTACAACCAACCGGTTTTTTTTAAATCGCTATTTCACATATATTTTAGTATTTAAATTCATCCACATGTCAAGAATCCCTAGACAATCGTCATGTACGTGAGGCTTAAAATAACAATGTTTTGACTCCAGGCTCCCTCTACTGTCTTTGCAATAACAAACAAACATTTTATGGCCCTCTTCTAAAAAGATCCCAACATTTAAGAAGTCAAAGCAAAAATAATCTTGCACAATAATAAAGGATAACCATAGTATGATAATCGGGAAGTTCAATATTTGGAGAAAGTTGGAAAAATTATAAACTAATTAATGAAGTATTTACATAGAACCATATGAAGTTGTCATTATTTGACCATTTTTTAATCTACAAATGGCAGTTTAACATATGATTCAACCTTACATATGAACATTTTATTGTCAGAGAATAGTAGTGTGTGTGTGTATATGTGTTGGGGAGTGATTATTACTATTAATAAATAATCTCTCCTATGAAATTCCTAGATACATTGGTTAATTTACATAGTGTTTCTTGACCCAAATTAACTGCAGGGTATGTTAACTCCAGTGCCTTATAGGAATGTATGCCAACCTGGGTTTAGAAGAAAGAAATCTGCCTTCTGGAAAAAGAGTGAAGAAACAAAATGTTTCACACAGGAAGTAAATGAAAGTAAGGTAGAAAAGTCTTATGTTTACAAGGGGAAAGCTGGAAAGAAAATAGTTAACATTTTAAATGTGAAAGGAGGAAGTAGGGCAATTTGCATATATTTCAAAGAATCTCACGCTATTGAGAAAACCTGCAAATCCTGGCAAGAATTAGAGGTAAAAGCCAAAGTTAATAAATACACTTCAAATACCCTTGATGTTTCACAGGCACTAACAAGAAAGCATCTTTCGAGTAAGTTCACACCTTCTACAAGATAAATATTAATATCGTTGATAATTTCCCAAAAAGTTAATATTTTACAGTTCAGATTTTTATTTCAGCTTGCTTTTGAAGCTGAAAAAATGCTTTTTGAAGTTATGTTTTCATAGTCTAATTCAGTCTAAGACTGAAAGACGCTATCAAAGATTTATTTACAAACATGTTCATCAAAACTTTATTTTTGTAGTGACTATTCACCACTTAAGTAGTCTTATGCCTAATGTAGTGCCTGATATATACGAAGTATTCAATATATTATATTCTTGAAAGAATTACAGAAGAAAATTTGGAAATTTCCAAGTTGGGGACAGGTTGAACAATTATGGATAAATTGTGGCTTAAACATAATACAATATTATATGGCCATTAAAAATATTTTGAAGCCTTTTTTAAGACATTGGGGAAATGTAAAGACATTGGGGAGGATGTTAAGTGAAGAGGAAGGTAACAATGTATGAACTAATACTAATTATATACAGTAAATATATATGCCCACAAAATGTCTGGAAGGAAAAATAAAATTATTGACTGAGGTGGTTTCTATATTTTTCTTTGTACTTCTCTGTATGTTGCAAATTGTCTATTATGAGCATGTATTACTTTTATAATCAGAACAATACTACATGTTAAACACTTTCTATGATGCTTTGCTAAAATTTAGATCTGTAATAAAAATTTACCCACTAAAAACTGTGGAGTTTAATAGAAGATAACTGCTGTAGAGGGCTTCAGTATTTGTAAAAGGGGGTTTTGGCTTTTCCCTTCACTTTGTTAGAACAAACCCTCTCTACATAAATAGACACTGTTGGTAATTTATTCAGTGGCCTGGATGCACAAACCAGAGCTAAATTATGCTCTAGTTTTGAGTATTACACCAACAATAACTTCTGCACAAAAGTTATAGAGATAGGTGAATTATTTCTAAAATTACACAAACAAAGATGAAATGTAATTTTTTTTTTCATCAGAGAGAAATGAAATACCCATCATGGGTTCAAATAGGCACTGAACCAGGAACTTTACCTAAATTATCTTTATCCTTCCAGCTACTCTGGAAATAGGTACTTTTATTCATATACATAATATTACATAGAATTAACAATAATAGCTAAGAGTTTTTTTTATTCATCAGCTGTCATGTGCCAAGCACTGTGTGGAGGCTTATTTTCTCTCACTTAATGTGAAGAGCTACCAGGGCAAGTAGTGTTATTATCCCCACTTTGCACTTGAAGACACTGATATCCAGGGTAGAAGCCAGGTGTAACCACTCCTTCATGAAAAGAAAATAGTTTTATTTTCCAAGGTCATTAACCATGTTTGCCTCTTCTTTCAAGAACAATAAATAAACATAGAAAACATTGCATTCTACATATGGATTTGAGCTCTTCTGTTGAAAGGAAGAGGAGTAGGAAGAGGGACTTCAGTCAGTTAAACTTGGGATTTGCTTCTATTTCCTTGGAATAGGACAATGGGAATAGCCAGTCGGATGTTACTCACTTATCACTACTAAGCAAATTCATCAAAACTAATATTTTCAAAGGTATCGATCAAGAAATATAATAAATTTCCCTTTGCCTTGACTGAACAAAAAGTCTTCAAACATAAGACATCAGCTATATAACGATGTTCCAATACTAGAGGAGGTAGTGGTTTGCTATTAATCGAACTAGGGATGTATTTGTCAATGACTCACCCATTTCTTTAAAAAACTTGTATTCTGGCTTTTTTCCTTTGCCTTCTTCCTACCATCGGGACTCCAAGGGGATTTGGAATGAATGTGGGCAAGTGATTAAGAGAACTTAGAAATAACTGACTCTCCCTATACTCTTGGTTCCTGAAATGGGCCAGCTGGTTCTAGTTTAAGAAGAAGGAGAATTACATTTCTTTAAGCATCCTAAAAGCTCTATTTCATTTCAGAACTTTATACTCTATGTCATTTGAAGCTCACAACCATCTACCAAGGTACACATTCCCAGAGAGCACCTAACCCCAGAATTTAAAAAGGGATTGTACTTCGTATCATGTGGCTACTTAATGAAATTCGAATAAACAAATTTGATTTCAACAACTGGCTTCCTTCAAAACACGTTTCCTAGAAACAAACGGGTCTTGGTGACTTACAAGTAATTCCTTGCTAGAGGCCAAGCTTGAGGGACACTTGGAATTTTCTGACAGAAATGCTCCCCTTTCCCCTACTGTGACCAAAGCAGCTATTCCAGCAGGAAAGCCGAGGCCGATCACACATCCCGGGACCGGGCCGCATCTAGCGGGCTGGGAGGTGCCTGCTTCTAGTCCCTCGAGTCTGCTCTCGGGGGAAGCTGGCGCCCAGAGAGCCACAGGAAACACACAGTCTTCTCGGGGCAGCCTAGGTTGGGGTCCAGGCCCTGCAGGACGTGTTTATATACGTGCAGGAACAACCCTCTCGCCCGGCTCCGTACTTCTTTTACTCCACAAGTTTAAAACACAAACTAGGCCACCGCGCCTTTTCCCCTCTCCCCGCTAAGAGTATGATCAGGTATGGACAACAACATTCCCATCTCCCTCCCTTCCGCCCTTCTCAAAGCAGACGGTGCGACGGCAGACATGCGTTTGAAGGTTTGTGCACCCAATTTCGGGCGCAGCAGAAACCCCTGGACTTGGGTGTGTCGCTATCCTCCCCCGCCCCGCCCCCTGGCCCCTGACCCCGCCCCTCGGCCCTTCCGCCTCTCCCCCCGCCGCAGTCCCGGCTCGGGTCGCGCGCGGTCTCGTCTCCTTGGCGACGCGGCGGCTGCGGCTACGGGATCCCCACCCGACGCCTACCGCGAGCTGAGCCTCGGGTGTCTGCCCGCGGGTGGTCAGCGTGAGACTGCCGCCGGCGGGCAGAGGCGACGAGGCGACTTCGAGTACCCGCGTGCAGCCGGACCCAGCCCTCACTCCGGACTCCCCCAGGCCCGGCTCCTGACCCTCAAACGTCTGCCCACCTCAGGTTCGGGCTCTGGGGCCCACGGCTACCGAGGCGGAGCGCGAGAAGGTAGGATCCGCACGGCGGGAGACGCGCCTCGCTCTTGCTCCCCTGGCTGCAGTCTGGCCTGGAGGCAGGGTACATACACAGCGTTTGCGTCCGTTTGCCTGTGAGTTGAGACCTGGGAGTTCCGCCTGGTCTCGATCTGCCGCGTGCCGGTTTGCACGCGCCAACAGCCCCCTCCCAGGCCCCCAAACAAAACAGTCATCTTCCAGCCCAGGGCTTCGGCAACTTCCCTAGTAAACGTCTTAATGGCCTGTAGGAGCGAGCATTCACTGGCTGTAGTCAGGACGTCGTTACTCTCTAGACACAGCTTGCTTGGTCATAAAAAATTTCGATAGAATTTGGACATATCATTTAACCTCCCTGAGCCTTGTTTTCATCTGTAAAATGATGGGCTTGTGCAGTGGGTCGCTTCTAACATCAGTCTTAAGCCTTCTTTCTATGAGATGACAAAATTGATTCGAGATTTCCAAAACCAAGATATCGTGGTCTTCTGACTACTCAAATTACAGTGTGCCCTGTAGCGTTTAAATTAACACGCAGTGTAATTACAAAGCTAGCGTTTGGCTTCCCAGAGGGCATAGGTGAATTGGATGAATCTCCTCTTTTCCCCAAGAAACCCCTGGAAGGTGTTTTTTAAAAAAAAGTATGAAAAAGACACTAAAAATGTCTTCTGATTTGTTCGTTCTGCAAACCAAATACACTGATCCCCAAATCTAAGTAATTTTTTTTTTCTTTTTTTTTTTGCTAATTCAAGTTTTGTTTTTTAATTTCATGAAAACAGGAGCACTGCTCTTTAAGACTTTACCAAAGCTGAATTCCAACACCTCTGTAGGGATTCCACTGCACTACTCTAGAATTCCAGAGTTTCCTACCCTCAACCCTCACCACCACCATTTGAATTAAGTCTTCAGTGTTTTCTTCCCATCTTTTGCACCACCCCGTGTCAATTCTGCATTTAGAACTGGTTTCCTTAGAGTTCACCTTCAACACTGTCTTTGGTATGGTATAAGTAACAATAATAATAATAGGAAGAGTTGTGGTCATTATAATTGTAGTAGGAGATAAGTGCTATTATTTATTATTAGCTATTTACAATAGCAATTTACAACCCTTACAATAACTCTTTATCCTCATTTTACAGTAGAGAAAAGTGGATTGTAGGCTGGTTAAGGAACTTGCACAGGATCACACAATTTGCTGGAATTTGAACATAGGCAATCTGACTCAAGAGTCTGGGCTCCTAGCACTGTACTATACTGTAAGGGAAATACATAAAATTCATGTGTAGTTACTTTTATTTTTTTAATTTTTAAAATTTCTTTATTAAAGTATCATTGATATACAGTGTTGCGATGGTTTCCCATAAGCAACACTGTGCTTTCAAGATTCACCCATATTATCAAGTCCTCAGGCTCTCTACTGCAGTCACTGTCTATAGTAAGATGCTATAGAGTCATGCTGGTCTTCTCAGTGCTGTACTAGTGAGACCCACCTATATTGTGGTTGCGAATTATAGTGTCCCTTAATCCCCTTTTCCCTCCCCTTGGTAAACACTAGTCCCTTCTCAGTGTCTGTGAGTCTGCTGCTGTCTTGTTCTGTCAGTTTTTCTTTGTTGTTACACTCCATAAATGAAAGTCATTTGTTATTTGTCTCTCTCCACCTGGCTTATTTCACAATGGTAAGATTTCTTTTCTCTTTATGGCTGAATAATATTTCATTGTGTGCTTATACCACTTCTTTTTTTTTTTAACTGATAACCAATTTATTAAAAAGGTTGATTTAAGCATTTGCAATGGTGACTTCAACCTCGACTCCTGGCTCAATACTGATGGAAGTAATCTGCTTTACAATCTCAGAAGGATTGTGCAAGTCAATGAGACGCTTGTGGATCCTCCCAGGCCCCCTCACAAGTCTTCGAACCTTCACCACAAGCTGTTTTTCTTGTAGTGATTCTCAGTCTTGGTAGGCATCCAAACCGGTCCTTTCGCTTTGAGGTTCTTTTCCTTTGCACCTCTTATCAAGTCAGTGCATACCTTCTCCAAAGACTTTACGTTGCGGCTAGTCAGAGTAATTCTAATTCAGTGAATCGCCACCTCCGGTTCCATGGGTGTCTTTCTAGTACCTTTAAAAGCCATGGCTGCGGCGCAGCTTCCTGACCGACTTGTTCCTCGGCAAGAGTGAACAGCAGTGAGTCAGGAGCAGGAGCGGGCGAAGCAGAGACCCACTACAGCGTCTACCGCGTCTTCTTCAAAGAGCTGTACCACTTCTTCTTTATCCATTCATCTACTGATGGACACTTAGGTTGCTTCCATATCTTGGCTATTGTAAATAGTGCAGCAGTAAACATACAGGTGCATATGTCTTTTCGACTCAGGGATCTTATTTTCTTTGGGTAAATTCCTAGGAGTGGAATTCCTGGGTCAAATGGTATTTCTATGTTTAGTTTTTTAAGGAACCTCTATATTTTGCTTTCCACAATGGTTGAGCTAGTTGACATTCCTACTAGCAGTGTAGGAGGGTTCCCCTTTCTCTGCTTCTCGCCAGCATTTGTTGTTGCCTGTTGTTTGGATGTTGGCCATCCTAACTGGTATGAGGTGATATCTCATTGTGGTTTTAATTTGCATTTCTCTGATGATTAGCAATGTGGAACATCTTTTCATGTACCTGTTAGCCATCCATGTTTCTTTTTTGGAGAAGTGTCTGTTCAGATCCTCTGCTCATTTTTTAATTGGGTTATTTGTTTTTTGGGTGTTGAGGCATGTGCATTCTTTTTATATTTTGGATGTTAACCCCTTATCAAATAAATCATTTACAAATATATTCTCCCATACTGTAGGATGCCTTTTTGTTCTACTGATGGTGTCCTTTGCTGTACAGGACCTTTTTAGTTTGATGTAGTCCCACTTGTTCATTTTCTATTTTCTACCCCTTGCCTAAGGATATGTTTTCAGGAAAAAGTTGCTCATGTTTATATTCAAGAGATTTTTCCGTGTTTTCTTCAAAGATTTTTATGATTTCATGACTTACTGTGGGGAAGCTGGGGTTCCTATGGCCAGGATCTTCATTGAACTTAAACCACTTGATGGTGTAACTGGCTTGTTGCTAAGCTACTGCTTCCACACCCATACGCAATAAGCTATTATTGCACTATATAGAGAGCTCAGCCCAGTGCTCTGGGCAGAGGCAGAGACGCTAGTGCTCAACCTACCACCAGGAGAACAAGCCAGATAATAAACTTGTTCACCCCGAAGAAACATTCTGCCATTTCACTGGTTACACTGAATCCATAGTGAACTGGCAGGGGGCTGAAACACATTGGCGAGACAATTCGTGAAGTCAGCAGGGTTCATTGTTGACCAAGGAAAAAGACTGCCCTTATGGGAGGGGTGCTTCAGCAGGCTGCCCCTGTGAATGGGGAGACAGTGAATTGTCCCCCAGTGGGTATGTGGTCTGAGGTGGCTTGTCTCCTAGAGGACTGGGCCCCACCCCAGGACTGGAGGCAAGTGAAGGTGATACCAGAGGCAGTAAGTATAGCCCTTGGTATCGTAAGTAGGTCTTTTGAGAGACAGAGTGCCTGTGAGGCAGAAGGACTGTGGGTTGGCTACTTCTCACAGTATTAAAAGAGTCTACAGAAGAGAAGGACATGCTCCTGAAGAAGACCCAAGAAATGGCAGCATGAGAACGCAAGCTGCAAACTTCTGTGGATTCCCTGAAGAAGGAAATGGCATTAATGCAAGAGGAGGCAGCACGAGAATGCCAGCAGCAAGGTGCCGTTGAAGAAGTAAAAGATTCCTTATAGAATGAGACAGCAGTGCTGCCAGGTGCTCTGAAGGAGGAAAAGGCCATCCAGGAAAAAGATGAACTCCTGAGGGAAGCACAGGCGGAGGTGGCACGAGAACATCAGCTGTGAAGCATTGAGGTGAAGGTAAGAGAGCTGCTGAAAACTGAGCTAGCATTGTTGCGAGGCACAATAGAAAAGGTAAAGGTTATAGCAGAGTAGGCACTCGGGGAAGGGGAGAGAAAGGTGCCATCAGCCCCAGAAATGGAGGAGCTGAGGATGGATGAAGGGGTGGTGCTGAAGGCACTGACCCCTCCTGTTTTGAAAGCTTGCCCAGTGGTTGTAAAGAAAATAAAGACCCAGCAACTGAATATTCTCCAAGGAGAGGAGCAGCCCCCTCCACAGGTCGTGGAGCACTCTATGCTCAGCCCCTATACTCAGGCTGAGCTGGTGAACTTGGGCTCCTGGTTTAGGCAGAAGCCCTTGGAGTCAATATCAGCTTGGCTTCTGTGTCTGTGGGACTTTGGGGTGGATGGAGTTGTTCTGTCGGGATCAGAGATGGGAAAGCTGGCTTTCTTGATGGTTCAGCCCAACTTGAGGCAGTGATTACAAAGTGCACATCAGACCCCAGGGAGTCACTTCCTCTTTGATTGGCTTATGTCTGCACTTCATGCTGTGACCCAATCCGGGTGATCTACCATCCTCTCCTGTTAGATGGCAGACATATGCTGAGCTCCAACAGGTGCTACGGGAGCTAGGCATAAGAAATGCCGTCTATACTCCAGAGAATAATGGCCCAGATGAAGAGACTTTCACTACTGGGATGGGAAATATTGTGCTTCAGATGACTCCCACATCCCTCTCTGGGTCTCTAGTGGCCATTCTTTCCCCTCACTTAGGGCAGCCCATAAACAAGGTGATGCATACAGTAGCAGACTTAGGAAAGGCTGAAGCAATGAGAACATGGAAAGAAATAAGGTCTGCTACTCCCAAGAAGAATTTTAAAGGGCCCTTGTGAGGGTTATGAGGACCCAGATATTTGGGTGATTTAATATGGGCAGGAGCAGATGGAAAGAAATGAGATGGGAAGTCAGATAGTATCTTAGAAGAGCTACAGCAACAACTGAAACCAGAGTATCAGTTCCAGCCATTAAGATCAAAGAGGCAGAGGTCAGAGACAGAGCCACAAGTCTGGCCTGTGTGTTTGCAAGACTTCTTGCTGGAG